TTGTATCTCCAATGATTCTGTTGTATTTAAACCCACCATAAAAATACAACGATTATTTATAATGCTAGAAAAATGCCAGATTATTTGAAATGAGCTTCGCTGCACCATTCTGGGAGTGCTGTTTCGCGACTGCAAGAAAATAAACCCTTAAAAAAAAAGAACATCCGTCTAGCTTGTAAGCCATGGAAACTTCAAGCCGTCTTGAGTGATTGTAAAGGCCTTGTCAAGTCAACAAAGACTGTCTAAAAAGCCGCAGTTCTATAAATGAGTGAGTGACATGAATTCATTAGAGGATTGACAGCCTGAGAGTGTTTCTGGCCACTTTTCTAGACCCGTCATCTGCCTGACTCTGTTTACAGACTCCGCTGTCACACAGACAGATGTGATTTCTCTATTTCACGGAGATTATTTCATGTGTGCTCTTCCTAAAAAGAGAGAGAGAGAGAGAGAGAGAGAGAGAGGGGGAGTTATTTTTAGCCAGTTTCTCTCCATCACTGACAGTAATGCACTCGCAATGAGAAAACATCCATTTCCTATAGCGCTTGAATTCCCTGTGCAGCAGTTTTTCCTAACGGAAAGCAACTTTATATTAAGTTTTTGTAAACTTATTTGTGCGATGAAGGCGAGCCGTGGATGTTTAAATAGTCTTTATGGAGAGAGAGTGCTTTATTTCTGCTGAGTGCTGCTCTTAGACTCGACTCGGAGAGGAAAAACTTGTAATCAGTCTTCGGGGATTTGCGGATGTGGACACGGCACAGAGAAACAGTTAATGATGAGCTGAACGGACACAAAAACCAACACCGAGTCCACCGCAGATCGCCGGTCAAGCGCTAAAAATATTGCACTGGATGAACATCTCCGGGGAAAACCTTTTCTTCATTCCCTCCATTGTCCAGTTGTCTCCAACACACGACAGTAAATTCAGAAAACGCAAGCAGTTTTACTGGAACTGAACAATCTTTGCTTCCAGCGCATTAAAAAATAGGTCACAGGTCTGACTAGGGGGCTCGATAGTACATAAATTAGTGGAAATATATGCAAATTACACATATGACACGCAAGACCATGTTTGAATTTTACATATCTAAAATACATGTCCTATATTCAACATATATATCAAAATATTGCAGCCTTTTGGTATATTTGATTAGGGCTGGGCGGCTCAGTGGTTAGCACTGTGGCCTCACAGCACAATGTTTGTTTAATTCCCCTTATACGCGATCCTATTGTTAATACTAGGATGTAAACAACAGCATTGATTGCACTTTTTATGTTCTACTAATCACACAGTTCTGCCTGTTTATGTTGTCTAAACCCAGAGAAACAGTCTGTTTTGCTGTACATTTCAGATGTCAAGTCCACTAGAGGGCGCTGTCTACATTTTTTAAATTCTGAAATGTGTGTGTGAATGTGTGTATGGGTTTTCTCAGTACTGGGTTGCAGCTGGAAGGGCATCCGCAGTGTAAAACATATTCTGGAATAGTTGGCGGTTCATTCCGCTGGAAGCCGAAGGAAAATGAATGAATGAATTAATGATTAGGGCTTCAGATCGTTTTAGCATTGTTATCGTAATGTGTGCGTCTGCAATAGTCACACTTGCAATATATTAGCTATGATGTTGCTGTATATATGTGTTCATATGGCTGTGCCTGGATAAGGCTATATATACACTCACTGGCCACTTTATTAGGTACACCTGTCTAGCTGCTTGTTAACGCAGATTTCTAATCAGCCAATCACATGGCAGCAGCTCACTGCATTTAGGCATGTAGACATGATCGAGATGAGGTTCAAAGCGAGCATCAGAATGAGGAAGAAAGGGGATTTAAGAGACTTTGAACGTGGCATGGTTGTTGCTGCCAGACGGGCTGCTCTGAGTATTTCAGAAACTGCTGATCTACTGAGACTTTCACGCACTACCATCTCTAGGGTTTACAGAGAATGCTCCGACAAAGAGGAAATATCCAGTGAGCGGCAGATCTGTGGGCGCAAATGCCTTGTTGATGAGGCCAGAGGTCAGAGGAGAATGGCCAGACTGGTTCCAGCTGATAGAAAGGCAACAGTAACTCAAATAAGCACTCGTTACAACCGAGCTCTGCAGAAGAGCATCTCTGAACACACAACACGTCCAACCTTGAGGCGGATGGGCTACAGCAGCAGAAGAGCACACCGGGTGCCGCTCCTGTCAGCTAAGAACAGGAAACTGAGGCTACAATTCACACAGACTCACCAAAACTGGACAATAGAAGATTGGAGAAACGTTGCTGCTCTGATGAGTCTCCATTTCTGCTCACACATTCAGATGCTCGGGGCAGAATTTGGCCTCAACAGCATGAAAGCATGGATCATCCTGCCTTGTATCAGCGGTTCAGGCTGGTGGTGGTGGTGTAATGGTGTGGGGGAGATTTTCTTTGGGTCCATTAGTACCAATTGAGCATCAACGCCACAGCCTACCTGAGTATTGCTGCTGACCATGTCCATCCCTTTATGAGCACAGTGTCTCCATCTTCTGATGGCTACTTCCGGCAGGATAACGCAGCATGTCATAAAGCTCAATCATCTCAGACTGGTGAACATGACAATGAGTTCACTGTACTCAAATGGCCTCCACAGTCACCAGAGCTCAATCCAATAGAGTAGCTTTGGGATGTGGTTGAACAAGAGATTGGCATCATGGATGTGCAGCCGACAAATCTGCAGCAACTGTGTGATGCTATCATGACAATATGGAGCAAAATCTCTGAGGAAGATTTCCAGTAGCTTGTTGAATCTCTGACACCAAGGATTAAGGCAGTTCTGAAGGCAAAAGGGGTCCAACCCGGTACGAGTAAGGTGTACCTAATAAAGTGGCCAGTGAGTGTTTTTGAAAATATATGTCAATATTTGTAAATCAAATTGTTGAACAAAATGTAAACAGCTAGTTTCCACACATATGACATGTAAAAGTCCAACATGACATTTTCTCCTGTGTGTCATATGTAATTTGCATATATTTCCATGTATCTGTTTTCTATATAGAGCACTTCTATCCAATGTAAATTACACATAAGTGTAAAACAAGCAGCACTAATTAATACCTAACTGAAGCGTGTAATTAGACCTAGTATGTAGATAAACGTGTGGCTCAGAGCTGTGTGTGTGTGTGTGTGTGTGTGTGTGTGTGTGTGTGTTTTTCTAATCTTCTGGGTATTACAGCTATAATTAGGGGTGCTTGCTAAGTCAAGCATCACTAGTACTGTTGCTTATTATTAATTAGCATTAGTGACATGAACAAACAATAAAGATCAGCGTCTAACTAGTCCTGCTTATGTTGCAGGAGATGCCCAAACAGGAGTATGGAGAAATCACCTAATAACACCCTATTATTATGCAGAAATATGCCCTATTAATAATCAGAAATACCCTAGCAACCATTTATAGGTGCCCAAACAGACACTTAGCTACAACCTAACAACCCCTTAGAAACATATACTGTATAGCAACAAACAAGCAATACCCTAGCAACATCCAACATACAGTGACTTAGCAATTACATGTTGATAATCCAGAAAATATTAGCCTTGATCCAGAACATCCAACACCACAGTAATGTCCTGTCAGCCATCCACCCTAGCAACCACTTAGCAACACCCTAGCAACCATCCTGAGCACAATATAAAGCTCATAGCAATGCCCAAGCAAACATGCTCAATATACTAGAAACTAATGAAACAATCAAGCTGGCTACATGCTTATTACAACACAACATAGCAACACCCTGGCAACCACCAACAACGGCCCAACAACATGCTGACTACCATTCAGCAATGCTCTGGCAACCAACCAGTGCAACACAGCAACACCCTGGCAACCCAGCAACATGCCAACATCTCTGGCCGCCGCCCACAGAAACATAGCAACAAAGTAGCAAGGTGAACAATCACATAGCAACGCCCTGGCAACCACTCAATGCAACATAGCAACACCCTGGCAACCACCCACAGCATGAAAAGCCAAAATAATTTCTGTGTGTGTGTGTGTGTGTGTGTGTGTGTGTGTGTGTGTGTGTGTGTGTGTGTGTGTGTGTGTGTGAGTGAATTCATGTGTGTGCGTGTGCGTGTGTGAATTCATGTGTTGTGTGTGTGTGTGTGTGTGTGTGTGTGTGTGTGTGTGTGTGTGTGTGTCAGTGAGTGTGTGTTAGTGAATTCATGTGGTGTGTGTGTGTGTGTGTGTGTTTGTGTGTGCGTGCGTGCGCGTGTGTGTGCGTGTGTGAATTCATGTGTTATGTGTGTGTGTGTGTCAGTGAGTGTGTGTGAGTAAATTTATGTGTTGTGTTATGTGTGTTTGTGGGTGGGTGTGTGTGTGTGTGTGTTAGTGAGTGTGTGT